TAATAATTTTTCTTTTTCAAATATTAAATCCTCTGGATTCTTAAAATTCGAAGTTTTTACTTGACAGAAAAAACAACAAATTTATTTATTTTTTAACCAACAAATAACTTGATTTCTGCATTTTCCTTCAACATACAAACTTCGGATTTACAAAATCCAAAGTATTAATATGATAAAAGAAGCCAAAAAATGGGTACTTTTGATTGAATAAACTTCGGATATTAAATATCGAAAGTTCGTTTGCACTTGTTAATGGTTCAGTAGTGTTTTTTGACCTCAAACATACCTCATTAAAACATCCTCCAAATTTCGTTTTTGCATTGATTACATATTTTTCATTTTTTTTTTTTAAACCAATTACCCCTATTTCTGACATTGACAGTTCAAAGTTCAACTTTATTGAAAAAAAAATAAGGACCCGATATCTATGCGGTTAAGCTTGCATACGTATAAATGTGGGTCTCTTAATAAATCTATTTTTTAGATGGATTTAATACTTAATTTTTAGGGACATGTAATCTCTAACATGGAGATCATGAATATGAAAAAATAAAAAAAATTTAAAAATTAGAAATAATAATTTTAGTAAACAAAACATTTAGACCGTTAGTTTTAATTGTTTTTAGATGGAACATGTAGCCTTTAGACTTTCTGGACCGCATATATAGAAATACGGTCCAATCCTTATGAAACAATTTTCCAAAAAATAACCTAAGAGACAAACTCCGGACCTAGAAAGTCCAATATTTACTGTAAAGAACAAACCAGAATTTCAATAGTCTTGCTATGACAGTTTAGCATTAAAAAACAACATCAAAAGTAAACCTTGAAACTTCAAGTTTCAAAGTGCCCTTTTAGGTTGATTTTTTTTAGCAACAAAGTTATTGGTCAAAAAAAGGTAAACTTCGTAAGTAAAGGTAATTTGGTTAAAACAATAAATAAAATAAAAACTAAAGGTATGAAAGTAAAGTTAAGGATTTTTTAGATGATGTTTTAAACAATAATAATTTAAAAATATACAAGTGTAAATCACTTTAACTTGTGCAAAAATGAAATACCCCCAAACATGTAAATATACAAGTGTATATATGTCACTCTAAATTATGCAAAAATGAAAATACCCCCAAATTATACAGTTGAGGTTATGCTGAATATTGCATTCATCTTTAGCTCATCATTATCATCATCATAGTATTTTTCTAATTGTCTGCAGTCGGTTACACAAATTTTAATCCGTCATTTTATTCTATCAATGGCCATACTTTCAGTCAGGTCATATGTCCCTTAATATCTTCATACTACTTTAAAGTTTAAACCATGTCCTTTTGAGCCTACCCTTGCTCATTTTTTAGTAGTCCTCTTGAACTAACTTGACTTTTTAACAGGTATTATTATGGGTCTCTGCTGCACAATCATATTCATCTTCAGCTGCCAAACAAAAAATTTGACACCTTACATTGCGTTATGAAAATATAAAATTTGATTTTGGCCCCCTTTCCAAATAACCATTTCAAGCCTACGCTATTTATCAATTAATTGAAAGGAGATTACTGACGATCGTGCGTGTTTTCATGGCTCAGTAGATTCCCCCTCCCTCCTGGTATGAATGGTTTTGTGCTAGGCCATCACATGTACAAAACATATGTGGACCCCCCTACTATGAAAATCTATACTTGGAGCCCCCCCATCCCCCCTCTCTCTGGGTATATTAATGATACATCTTCATCAACTATCTAATGATCACATCAATGATAATCGGGATCTCTTTGTGCCAAAGGAAAATATCACAAATTTATTAAAAATACGACAATAACGAAAAATGATGAAAACACTAGGAAGGCAATGAAATGCCATCGATATTTTTATTTTTATTGATACAATTGTAATGTTTTGAAATAACTCTCATTCAAATATTTTGAGAATTTTTATTTTTTAAAAGTGATTTTATATTTTTTTTATAACACTTCTTATTACATTGTTGCCATTAAGGCAAAATTTTACGACGGTTTCCGTTATAAAGTTTATAACCATCAACCCATTGCAACAAATCAGCAAGTAAAGTAAACAAATCTCTACAAACTAGTATCCAAAGTATGTATGAGGGAAAATTTTGTGTGGAACCCTAATGCCCTATTTCATTTCATGGTAGACTCTCTTCTTTTTTTTCTTTTAAGCGGCATAAAGAATTCTTTAAGGATTTCAACGTAGCCCCTCATCTCCTATCTCTTCGTTTTCTATACTTATGAACATAAAAGTTAGCCTTAAGAACTATTTTATACCACCTCAAGCCAAAATCTTCTTTTTTTTTTCATATTTGCCCCTTTTAACCCCATTATATTTCTCACTTTCAATTCACCACTATCTATAAATGTTTTTTTATTATGTTTTTCCCTTTTCAACCCCTCAATGCATTATATCTCCCACTCTCACAATTCACCACATATGAGGACTCTCTCTCTCTCTCATATTAGTCTCTCTCGCTCCCCCTCTTACATGTAAGTATCTCTCTAAATTTTGTAGCCGGATCCTTTATCTCTCTAAACCTCTCTTTTGTCTCTAATGGCATGTACCATGTGATTTCTCTTTAATGGTCATGTACTATGTGATTTCTCTTTCTAACCATTTATCTCTCCTCCCTATCAAACTCTTTCTAACTTGATTTTGTTATTTGGTCTTATAAATATGTTGTGTGTACAATAAATACCATAATAATATATTATTATATGAGTTATATCTCTCTCTCTCTCTCTTAAAATGTCTTTTTTCTTTTACTGAGCTTGAAGGGATTTATGTAGGTAGCCGTTGTAGTGTATTGATTTGAAATACACTCACACAATATAAGAATCGATCCTTCTAGGTAGACGAAAATACCGATTATTTAGTCATCTTTGATTTACAGGTTCCGTTGTAATGTCTTGATTATTCTAAGCAATTTTATTTATAATACAAATTATGATGTTTGTTGTAGTTGTTAATATTCAATAACTTTCTGGCATGATTTTATACCAAATAAAATAGGGAAAATTACAAACCCTCTCTCCCAAGTATACTATTTATGCAACTTACCGCCAACTAACCTTTCATCTCGTTTTTTTTCCCCACAACCACCTTTCCTCGCAAATACCCCCCAATCCAAAAAAAAAAGAAAAAGAGACTAAACTACCCCTCTCTGTCCTCGTGGCTTTTACCCACGACTCTCTCGCCGTGCGTTTTATCCACACGCTTCAGCAATGCAGAGACTCGTTTTGGCAATGAAGCCACACGCTCCAACAATGCAGAGGGTCGCTCCGACAATGAAGGCGAGCTCTAGCAATGCAAGGATTGGCTCCAACAGTACACCTTCTGGAGTCACAGCGTTCCAGCGATTGAATAGGTCGCTTCGGCAATGAAAACATGCGCTTCAGCAATGCAGGGGGTCGCTCCGGCAATGAAGACACGCGCTCCAACAATGCAATGATTGGCTTCGGCAATACACCTTCTGGAGCCACAACACTTTGGCGGTTGAATAGGTCGCTCCGACAATGAAGACACGCGCTCCAACAATGCAATGATTGGCTTTGGCAGTACACCTTCTGGAGCCACAACACTTTGACGGTTGAATAGGTCGCTCCGACAGTACAAAGACGCGTTTCGGCATTACACCTTTTGGAGCCACATCGCTCCAACGGTTGAATTGGTTGCTCCAGCAATATGCTACTTGGGACTACCAATTGATTTTTTTTATACGGAAATGATATTTTCATAAAAAAAAATAACAATTTTTACCTTGGGGGGTTTACGAGGAAAGGTCGTTGTGGGGAAAAAAGTGAGAGGTAAGATTAGATGGGGGTAAATTGCATAGAGAGTATACCGGGGGGATTTTATAATTTTTTCAATAAAATACAGAGAGAGAGAGGCCATACGAAATGCTGGGTATTAGGGTTAAAGAGGGAAACATTCATTAGAGAGGAGTGAAACATAAGGTTAGAGAGAGAAATATACGTCATATAGTGGGTTAGACCGTTAAACAAAAAGATTTAAGAGCATGGGGGTTGGCTCTTAGAGAGAGAAAGAGATTCAAAGATATTAACGTACCCTAAAATTTAGGGAGAGAGAGACTTACTGTGACAGGGAAAGAGGTGAGTAGGTTGTGAGGGATAGCATGTTGTGGTGAATAGAGAGATAGCCATTGCCAAAGTGGAGAGAGAGAGGGAGAGAGATCACCATGGTGAAATGAGAAAGTGGGGGACATGATAGGGTTGAAAAGGGAAAAAAAATACAATAAAAAAAGTTATTGGGTTAAGGTGATATAAAATAGTTTGTTAGAGCTAATTTATATATTCAAACATGAATAAAAATACGGAGATAAAACATAGAGGGCACATTGAAATTCTCACGGGTTTTCTTATGCTACTTGAAAATGAAAAGGCAAGAGGGTCTAAATGAGATGGAGAATTATGGTTTGGAATGAAAATTGCCCTATATATAAATCTTTAATACACAGCTATCCCCCCTTTTCACATTTGGGAAGCTCCCTTAGAAGTAAAGTTTATTTTTACTTCCTCCACCAGAAGACCAACTTGGGGAAATTTTTTGATTTAAAATATTGAGAACCACTTAATGATTATTCTAAAAAAAATACGAATTGAAATATGAGTTTTATGACACTTAGATCTCACCATCTAAAAATTAAACGGTTCTCTATTCAATCTCAAGCGATTATTTTTTCAACTACATCGAGGGTATAATTAGGAATTTTTTTTATTGAGGTCAGTCTATGGGATGAAGAGGTTACATCCCCAGATTTTGGGTTCCTAGAATTGTTTATAGGGTGGGGTTTTACATGAAGGAGTAAATGGACATACTACTCCCGCGGGAGTAGATTTTCTTTTTGTTTCGTCTTTTAGGCTTAAAAAATTTGAAAACGACACATCTCGAACTTTTCAGGTGGACGTCCATGTGCCTCTTTCTCTCTCTCTCTCCATAAAAAACCAATAAAATATTCCCCCTCATTATCTCCCAAATTTCTAATTACATTCCTTTAAACTCGACAAGCGCCAAAGCCTTTTTCTTTGCTGTTCTCTGCAACTTTTTCGGGCCCTACTAATGTTTCCTTTGTCTCTCTATTCTCTCGTACTTTCTCTCTCATCCTCGTCGGTCGAATATTTTGTTATTTAAATTGAAAATTTTCGCTGTGGCTTTCTTTGGATTGAAACCAGAGTTATTGGCCTTGGATCTGGTTTCTGGGAACTGAATGTGGGCTGAATTTTTTGTGATCCTGGTGTAATCGATTGGTTTCGGAAGAATTAGGGTTTATCAGAGATGGGTTCGAGAGAACAGAAGCCAGGAGGTGGTTTTTTCGCCTCAATCATGTCCAGTGTGTCGAATTTTGGCAGCGCAATGCATAAATCGGTTAATGGGTATGTGCACCGGCTCTCTCTGCTTCTCTCTCCCTATTTTTATGTGTATGGATTTATTGTGTATTTGTGTTAGTCGTTCTAGCGGTTGTTCAGATCAAGGGCTTCTTTTGTTGCTATTATTTATTAGTCATGGGGTATGAAATGCTTGTATGTGTTTTTATTCTTTTTTTTTCTGATGGATTTGATGTAAATGGAGTTAGATATATGCCAATTAGTCGAGACACTCTACATAAAATATTATAATGTTCCTTTTTGTTTATGTCTCTGGTTATAGATGAAGTTAAGTGTTTCTCATGGATCATTATATGTTTCCTTGTGTCATTTGTTATTCATTTAGCTGATTTAATGTGATACAAGAAGCTGATTTGAATTTGTCCACAAACGATGAACGTGTCAATTCTAATAAATTTGATGGGTAAACAATATTGAAAGAAAGAAAAATGATGCGTAGACCCTTTTAGTAGTTTACTTAGTGTTTTTTTTTTTTTTTTGAGAAAAGTTGTTTACTTAGTTTTCCTGACAAGTTTCTTGTAACATAACCTGTTGAAATTGGACCTTATTGAAGGGCGGCACTCGAGCACACAAATATACGTGTATGTATGTGTGCATCTTTATATTAATTTTTGGGTACATTTTATGCATATATATATATATATATATTTACATATATATATATATATTTACATATATATATATATATTTATTTATATACATATATACATGATATATTTGTGTGCATATGTAGAAACACACATGCATAGACAAATACATGAACACCCATTATGTGCATTGTATAGAATCTATGGATGTGTATATGCTTATGTTTACAGGATATTGGCTGTTCACATGGACAGGAACATATATGAACATGCATTATGTATGTTTCTATAGATGTCTATGTGCTCATTTTTATGAGAAATTGCTTGTTCCTTTAAGATGCTGTGACAGGTTGTATTAATTTTTCCAAGGCTTACCTGATTGTATTGCTTTATAGCACACAAAAACACACTTGTTAATTTGATGAAGGCCTCTCTCTCTCTCTCTCTCTCTCACACACACACACACACACACACATGGACCCATATGCTCTGTCTACATGTAAGAAGAAGAAAATGACCCCCAAGTGTTCGAGTGAGGGCTCTCTCTCTCTCTCTCTGCATATAAGAAGAAGAAAAAGAAGAACTTGTCCTAGTGTTCGAGACATCTCTCACACATACAGACACCTATGCTCTATTTGTCTCACTCTACATATAAGATATGAAAAAAATGTCCTTTAAGTTTTTCATGTAAGGCCTCACAAATATGCACACACACACAAATTACACACACACACACACCCACCCACCCCGACACCTTAGGGGCGCCCGGGTATCTGGGCCCCATCCTCTGACACCATAGGGCTGCCCAGGTATCTGGGCGCCCAGCCTCTGCCTTTTTGAACATTGATAAGAATATAAGAAGTAGAGAGTCTAGAGACCATAAAAGTAAATCTGAGAAATAGAGAACTCATTTTTCTTAAGTTTTGCTTTACTGTCTCTTTGATAATCCTTCATATTTTTGAAACCAAAACATATCCATTCAGACTGAACTCTGTACCTTTATAGTGTGGACTATAACCCAATTCTGTAGGTTTATGTGACACAGGATGAACTGTACTAGATTACAGATTTTTCTTTGAGGGCTTTGCCAGTTTGTTGCTATGGAGAGGAAACATGAAGGTGCCTCCCTTACTGAAAAGAAAAAGAAAAGAGATGATCCCTAAGGTTTGGTTTGGGTCATGCATTGCACAGATGACATACCCATATGAGTCACACCCTTCTTGCATTATACCTGATTCACTATGGGTACTGCCTAAATAATCTTCTTTTCGAATTGATTTACTTGTATGGCTTGATGAAGAGAAAAAAGACTGGCTTGTATGGCTTGATGGAAAATAAAGAAGAAAAATATTTACTTGTATGGCTTGGTTTCTCTCCCTATCTCTCAAGTGCATTTGCATTGCACTGTTTGAGTACCAGTCAATTGCTACCTGTCTGTTTGGTGGGACACCATATATACTTATTTGTTTCCCAAATGGGAGCATATATTGTTTTTCTTTTCTTGTATCGGGGAAGAAACCAGTTCTCATGACTTATGCATATGAATGAGGTACTTTGATTGGCTTATTCTTATGGATTCATTAATGAGGTTCAAATATTCCTCTGTCTTCTCTCAGTTTGACCTTTAAGATTGTTTCATTGACAAGAACATGAGTGATGGTCAGGGATCATTTTATTCAAATTTCTTGCCAAAAAATACTAAGATGACTTTTAATGATCACATGATCACAATGACTTAATTGTTTTGGTTTTTTTTTTTTCCTGTTATTCGTTGTTTCCTTGGTTAATAGGTTAATTTAGTTCTGCCCATTCTGACATAATTTTGGAACCTGGAAGTTAGGATTATAAATTTTGTATGTTAAGATATTTGTCTAGAGTCATCCTTCATATTGTTGCTTGAGAAATCGACGATAGGTTTCTGGAATTTTGTTTTTCATGAATTATCATTTTTTTCTCTGCCAGATTGTTAGGGTATGAAGGACTAGAAGTTATAAATCCTGAAGGAGGAACAGAAGATGCAGAAGCAGAAGCTCAAAGGGGGAGATGGAAACAAGAGGTTCTTATTTTTTCTTTAAATTGATTACTAAACTAGTTGATATTGTTCATATTAGCATCATCTTATTTTTCTTCATTGTCAAGACTCATGACATGCTTCGGTTTTTTGTGGCATGTCAAATCGATAAGTGGATGATGCGCACAATTCACATAGAACTTTACATCATCTTGTGTAAGCTAATCGCACATCTATTAAATGAAACTACTTACAAAAAAAAAGTAAAAAAAGGGATTAATCAAAGAGTTGTAATACGAATATATAGAGAAAGAAAGCAAATTCTTAAACCCCTTCATAATTCGTTATTGTATTCTTTGTCATCTCCCCGTCTGTGCCAAAGTGAGAAAGCTCTAACCACCTACACAAAAAAGCTGAAGAAAAAATCATGAAAACTGAAATCGATATAAATGTGAAGCAAATTTTTATTAAGTGGGAATCGTTATTGTATTCTGTTGGTTAATGCCTCTGAAACTCAGGAGTAAGGATTTCCAATAATTCATAAGTGAAAAAGGATGGAATTTATTTTCTTAAGAAAAGAGAAAGTAAAACTCGTTCTTCCTAAAAGAAGTCCTAGAACTTTGTGGAAGTTCCCCCAAAGAAGATAAAGATCTGATGATTAAGAGGTAAGAGGTGAGGTGATTTGGGAGATATGTGTGATTTGGGTTTCAAATATGAGGGGGTTTCCTTGCGTTGGGTTTCAAAGAAGAAACCTGAACAATTTTTAAGAGGTAAGAAACTGGAAAATAAAAAATGCAGGAATTACCTCAGACTTGCCCAAGTCTCCTCAACCCATGTATGAGTGACTTGCCAAGTTTACATTAGTGTCCACTTGATGCTGAACTGAGTTGAATCTGCTCTTGGTAGGGTTTGATCCCTCAAGTCCTAAAAATATTGTGATGCATGAAATACTTACATAGTCATATATGTATATCATTCAAGGTGTTCAGGCATGCAATAACCGTATACCTCTTTTCATCTGTTATTTTGTCTTTCCGGTTGATTTGTTTATGTTTATATCCACTCTTGCTCATAGGATAGAGATGGTTATTGGAAGATGATGCAAAAGTATATCGGATCGGATGTTACATCAATGGTTACACTTCCAGTAATTATTTTTGAACCAATGACAATGATTCAGAAAATGGCAGAGGTTTGTACTCCTGTATTTTTTATTTGATGTCCAGTCACAAAGCTGCCTTTACATCGTTTATTCCATTTCTTTCATTCTTTTTGCTAAGTCTCTCTTCTTGAATTGAATTATGTTTGCCACAGTTGATGGAATACTCTAGCCTATTAGATCTGGCAGATGAGTGTGAGGATCCATACATGCGTTTGGTCTATGCTTGTAAGAGTGCTTCAACTTGGCAAAAAGTTTGCTGTCTATAGTTCTATGCTCACTGGCTATAGTTCTATACTGTTCCGTTTTTGGATACTCTGAAACCCCTTTGTTAATGTTCTCCAGCATCATGGGCAGTTTCTGTGTACTATGCCTATCAGCGAACCTGGAAGCCTTTTAATCCCATCCTTGGGGAGACCTATGAAATGGTGAACCATGGAGGAATAATGTTCATTTCAGAGCAGGTAATTATTCAAATATTTGATTTGTTCTTTATATTTTGTTTTTATTCTTCTGTCCGGGTACTACTGGATATTGAACTATGCAGCTGATAGTTGTTAACTGGTCTTCTCTATTCCAACCATATGAGTATTCTATTGTCATGTGAATTTATGTTTTATTCTATACACTTTAATGTACCATGTGTAAATTTTTATTGCACAGGTGAGTCATCATCCTCCAATGAGCGCGGGGCATGCTGAAAATGAACATTTTACATATGATGTAACATCTAAGTTAAAGACCAAATTTTTGGGCAACTCGGTCGATGTTTATCCTGTTGGAAGGTATTCCTTGTATTTCTGCCATTCTGGGCAAGGAGTACTCTGCTTTCATATTTCAAATTATGTCATATATCTCAAAGAGATTGAGCGGCAATTAGAAGCTTGTTGTGTTTTTATGTTTTATCAACATCTGGTTTTTCTTTTTGAAATAAAACAGATTTTATATGGTCCAGATGGTATAGTCTTTTCTTAGCCTTACTAGTGTTTACATAATTTCAATTTATTTTGGATCTTGTAAAATTATAGCTGTGGTTTTCTTGGGTTTAGAAATGCATACCCTGTTTATATATGTTATCTGGTATTTGTTGTTTTCTTGTCATGGTTGGGAGGAAAAGGGGATGGGAATATGTTCCTTCTTCTAGATCGGGAAAGTCTTATTTGCTTGTGTAGTTATATATTGTTGAAAGAGAGCTATCTTGAACTCTTTGCTTTAGACATTTGTTCTGCATGCTGCCCTCCATTCTGATTAGTAGATCATGACTAACTAAATTAAATTGTACTTGATGAAATACCCTTCCCCATGCACTGTTATTTATTGTCAGTCGCAACTAATAAGGTTTGGGAGTGAGCTGTCTATAATATTTTGGTCAAGTATCTCATGTTGAATAGGAAAGACAAGTAATCTGTTAGATGCTGATTCTCTTGAACAGAAGAATTTAAAGTACGTTGTTTATTTTTCGTGATGTTGTAGTGAAAATGTGTAGTTTTATTTAAACTTTGGTGGATGCTATCCCTATAGTTTCTCGCAAACTTCGACTGGATGCAATCCCGACTTTGTGATGATATTTAAGCCTACATGCTATGTTATGGGAATGTATGGTTGACTTCATTAATAATTCAATACATCTGTTTATGGACTTCTCTGTAGGCCTGAAAATTTCGTTTACACTGATATCATCTTTGACTTGATCTATGGCTTAGACCATGAGAATCATTGTCAATTGAGCTATTGGTCAAAGTATTTGAATGTTTATGAATTTTATAGTATTTATTGAATGTGGAGTACCTTCCTTCTTTCGTGCCGTGTATCATTCAAGGGTAATACCCAAGTAAATATTTTTTAAGTTTAATTACCATTTCTTGTAACAAATTATGGTCATTAGTCAGAATAGATTATATCAAGCCCAAGGACTATATAAATTTTATTTTTTGACTTCTCCCTTTCTCTTTTTTCCATTTATTGGTGGTGAATGTGGAACTTCTATAATCTTCAGAAATTTGACCTTGTAATTTGCTAGGAATATGCAAGTGAATAAACTAGAAAATTTGATCCAGATTCGGATTAGATGTTAGATTGGTATTCCATTATATTTCAAATTAGAAAATTTGATCCAGATTTGGATTAGATGTTCGATTGGTATTCCATTATGTTTCAAATTAGAAAATTTGATCCAGATTCGGATTAGATGTTAGATTGGTATTCTATTATATTCTATTACATTCTCAAAAAACTAGCTGAAATATCAAAGGGTCTTGGATTGGAACTTTGGAGGTTAATTTTGATGGCAGGATCGTGAGGAAAAAAGTGAAGTTGCTAGCTCCCAAAAATTTGTTTTTGACAGTGGGGCATTCTGAGAAAGTTTTTTAGTGAAGGGGGGAACTCGTGTGTGTTGAAAAAGCATGCGCATTTGATCTGGCTTTCCTATATGCAGAATGCAGCATTGCTGCCCAGCCTGGTTCTTTGTTCTACCCATTGTTTTAAAATGCGGCTGCATAATGCTCTATGCGCCTCAAAGTGGCATAGGAGCGAATTCCACTGCATATGCGGCCGCATAGCTTGTGGGCCAAAATAGTGCCCATGAGCATGGGTACTTTTGTCACACCCCACCCCCCCCCCCACAAATAAAGGAAAGAAAAAAAGAACACAAAAGAAGCCACCAGAAATGTGGCTGTTTTTGGATCAGACGAAGAGGGAAAAAAATTGGTAGAAATGTTTTTCAGAAAAAAATTGTCGATTTTCTCTAGGTTTTGGTTGGTTGGGTTGTCGATTTGGGATTAGCTTGGGCGTTGTTTTGAAAAAGTTTGATAATGTGATGTTTTCTAAGGGCTAATGTCTTCTATAAAGTTAGTTTCAAGTTTCTACTTTCTACATTTGATTTCTAATTTCTTCTATCAGGGGATTTAGAGTCTCCAACAGTTGATAATATTGGAGTTAACGAATAAATTAGATATCTACTATCACATAAATCACCTCCATATTTTTTCCTGCATTAACTTATTTTTTGAGATTTTTTGGAATTTTTTATATTTATTGTGCATTAACTTATTTTTTGAGATTTTTTGGAATTTTTTATATTTATTGGCCGCATCAAGGTGATGCACCTGCATCTGGACCTCATCGGTCCCCCGATCGCATCGGGATCGCGTTCCCCATTTTAAGACATTGGTTCTACCTAATGTTTACTATGCTCCAAAACTCCATCCTATAGACCTGGCATCCACTATTTTGGTTATCTTCTTTAACGTTCTAAGATCCTGCCCATGTGGGATACTTTGGCATTCTAGTTGTGAGGCCTTGAGTTGCATTGGTCTGCATCCAATTTTTTGTTAGTTTTATTTGCAACTAGGAGAAGTGCTAGCCACATATGTTCAGAGCTTTACTGATGGTTATTTGAGGGCAAGATTGTGTATAGAAAGAACCATTCAAAGGCTAATGGGAAGTTTTACTGAGAATTCAAGTAATCCAACTATTTTTTGTAGGCGATTGATGCAAGATTTTTTTTGCACATACATATTATTCTGCTTGTGATTCTCTAATTCTTTTTCTTGTTGCCTGAGGTTCATAAATATGCTTTTCTTTTGATATTCTTCTTAGATCATTCATATTGGGAAGAATTTTCTTGTCCTAGGAACAAATATTTTCTCTTTGAATTTGCACAGGTTTCCATATTTTAGGTGTCCAGTTAAATCACATAGAAATAATATTATGTATTATGCTAATACTTCTATAGGTGCTTTGATAACATAGTTTGGTGATCTTATGCTACCTTCTTAGTTATAATGTGCTTATTAAACATACCATCCAACATATGTTCTTCTTGTTCTCTCTATCTTACTTTTTTTAATCAAGATTGAGAACATTTTTTTTTTTTTGATAATAATCAAGATTGAGAACATATTATATATGGATTTATATTGAATGGTAGGATCTTGAATCTCTCATGTCATACTTACAAGAGTGGGTCATGTTACCTAATGTTGTTGCAAATAATTATTAGCCAAAGGTTGTCTTATTCTACTAATCTTATGAGTGCCCAAGTTGCATAGGCTTTACTACAAAAGTTGGAACACCGAGCTCCATTTTATACATGGGAATATGTACTTATGTGTGGTTCCAAGTTTAAAGTTTTAACCAATGTGGGATTAAACCCACATACATTATAACCACACAAACATAATAAATAACTAATAAACTTAGTAAAATTATTAATGATATTATCTGGGATCTTCTCCATTGCAATCTGTCAAGGATGGTATATCCTTGAGGGTGACATATATTTGTATTATAAGTTTCTTTATGATTTAGCACATTGATTACTATGATTGCTGGTTTGTATTTGTTCTGTCTGGTTGGTATGGCACATTCAACCATAATGATCAAGAAAAGAAAATGAAGAAGGAAGCGTATGTTCCCTTTCATGGAGACAATATAGAGCAAGGGTTCATACATGATGTTTTGTTTAACCATATCAAATCATATATCTAACTATGATCTCTTGAACTATCAACAAAAATTCTCCTTTGTCTCATGCCTAGGGAATTCATTTAAATCATATTTATTGGATCATTAGCGTGCGGAAACAAAGGAGACTAGTATTATACAAAATGCACATTGCTGCTTATGCCATATTCTTTCTTTCCTTCTACGCAGAACACGTGTAAAACTAAAGAAGGCTGGTATTGTTCTAGATTTGGTGCCTCCTCCCACAAAAGTCAATAACCTCATTTTTGGACGCACTTGGGTTGACTCACCAGGGGAGATGGTCATGACAAATATGACCACCGGTGACAAAGTTGTCCTTTACTTTCAACCATGTGGCTGGTTTGGGTAACTCCTTATCAGAATTGCTTGCTTTTCAGATTTCCTTGGACTACAATACTTGCTTTCTTTTCTTTTGGATGAATCAGTTGGGTTAGACTGTTGCTACCCTGTAAAAAAATATATCTTTTTTGAGCAGATACAGAACCCTCTTTAATTTCCCATGCTTTGAAAAATCAATCAGAGTATTTATAACACATACAAGGTTTGCCATAAATTTTATCAAGGGAAATGTATCACACTAGCTTGTTATGTGGGATGATTTTGGTTTTTGCTGCATATATCTCCTTGCTTTGCCATTTGGTAATTGCAATGGATCTTGTGGAAGTCAATTATTCAACACAAGACTTCTGATTTTGTTGTTTTTCCTTACGGTGATAGTTTCATGAATTGTAAAACAATACAAAGAAACAAACCTGATGAAGGAAAAAGCAAAATCCTATGTAGGAAGACATACTTGTATGACTACCACCTCTTGTTTATGGAAATACGCTCAGTTCGAAACAATGATTCAAAACGCACCGATCTGGATTGAGAATTGCCGATTTGGATTGGGAATCATTGCAAAATGAAGCGGTTCCTGGAGAGTATCGGGAACCAGTCTAACTTAGTGGTGGATTGCCGGTTCTAGGCGATCTTGTTAGGGAGCCAGGCCATCTGGATCTGCCTGATCCCCTGGTTCCCACATATTACCTCGTATGATAAATTATTTCCTTTTTTTTAATGGACCGATTCTCACACCAAAGAATTGATCAGATCACTGGTTCGCTGTATCAGTTTCCCAGATGACTTGCTCGCGCAGCCTATAAACACTGGTTCAAAACTTTCAATTATATTTTGATAATTAGAAATTTATTTCTTTTCTATTTCCAGAATCCTTCGTTTACAATATTATTATTATGTTTTTGATGAAGATAAAACTGGTCGATTTACAATTTTAGATGTCATGAGAATCCATATAAATATTATGTTTCCTGCTACTAACGATGAAACAAAATATTCATGCTACATGCCTATGATATGGTCTTATGAGCATATAACTTGTGAAGTGCTCTATTGTGGAGGGCTTGAGCACAAAAGTTGGAGAGAAATGAGAAGCACTTGAGCAATCAAGCACCCATAGAGTAGTTGAGTGAGAATTAGAGGTCACGAGGAATATGGGGGAAGAGGCAAGGGATGGGGGAGTTAGATTGGATGATCATTATTTATTTAGAGTGTTGTCTGTTGAGGAAATAAATATATTTAACAGGACAGGATTACAGTGAGGAACTTTTAGGACACATGTATTGAGTTGAGGAAGCGAAAACTCTTTCTATCCCTAAATTAATGTGGGTGTCTCCATTCTTATCGGCTTGTTTTTGTACACATCAGAACGAAATGAAACACTTGTTGATAGGTTTATAATGGTCTAGTATCCCCTTTGGTATTCCTAGCTGTCACAGTGTGGATGAATCATGTTAAGCCTTCTGAACGGTGTTAAGGGATTAATGTCTATGACTAAAGGTTCAAAGGAGGCAGATCTCGTCCATAAACCACAGCCTGTGCAGTAGATCCCAAACCTTTTTCACTGAAGATCTATCAAAAAATGGTCAATGCAAATAAAAATTAAGAAAATGACACCACATAATTGATTGGAATACCAAAAAAGTTCTATATCATTTTTACTTTTTCCATTTTCTGTCCAAAAAATATTCAGATCTGAAACTGTGACATGTAAAGAGGAGGAGGTTGAGCCTCTTTGTGTGTGTGTGTGTTGGGGGCAGGGGTTTGGTTAAGGGATTGTATATAAGACCTGTTTGCATTTATCCTCACTCCACATGTGAAATCCGACAGTTTGGGGTGTGTCACAAAGTCAAATATGGACTTTTGAGACTGGTCAATGGAATGCCCCTAGCTATCCAATTTTAGTTCTAACGGCTAAGGGTTATGGTGACCTCCTTGTGACAAAGCTCAATGGCCTTATTGTGAACTTTCCCTTTGGTTAACAACTTATTTGGTTCGGAGTTTATTCGAGGGATTACTTAAATGCCATTTGATAGCTTCATGAGGACTCCTTAGCTCTGTGGAGATTGCCTACAATATCTTTGGAAGTCAAGGACAAACTGTTAATTATTGTATTTTGAATATTATTTGTTTCTATAGAGATACTACCTTGATGCCTGTTAGATTCGCAAGTGTGGGTATATTCAAGAATAATACCATGTTGCCATGGGACTATATGCAACCCTATTTTGCATTGTTTGTGTATGAATAGTTCTAATGGTCTTTTTGTTTATCTTTTCGTTTATTTATTTATTTTGGGTAGATCTGTCGGGAAAGGGTCCCTTAGTTGTTTTAGAAATAGAACTCAATACGTCATGTTGTGGCTTCTACAACCCTAACCACCTATGCTTTGAGTCCATTTATTTATATAGAAAGATGGCTTGGCAACATAAGCAAAAAGAAAGCAAGCTTAAAGCTTGCAGAACAGTGAACTTGTTGACCACGGTGATATGATCTACGGTTGTGAAAATGGTTTTTGATAGTAAACAAAGTGCTTACCACGGCAAAAAAGCTTGCTGCAGTGAAAATGTTCTCCTTTATCCTGTATAATATTAAAGGCTTACGAATTCAGTAAAAAGGTCAATGTTCCTCAAAATTTGGTTAAAGAGGTTCAGAGAGACCAAAAGTTGGGGATTTGGAGTCACTAGAGAATTCATTTTTTTGATGTGTTAAATGCTTTAGACTCGGTAAAATTCTGAGGTACAATCGGTCTTGACGCTCGAGGATACAACTGGGTCAATTTTACTGTTTATGAGTCTCTAAGTTGCATGCACAAGTGACCTGCTTAAAACTATTGCCAAAATACTTATCATCATCATCGTCAAAGCCTTTTCCCAACTAATTGGGGTCGGCTACTTGAATCCTGGTCTTCCATTTAAGGTTCATGATAACTTTTTTTGTAAAGTTTTATGTTGGTTGCCTACCTAACACAACCCAATGGCTTTACCTGGGCATGGGACGGGTTAAGGGAAAGTTTAAGGTCCTCACCCTTCCTAGACCAAAACTATTGCCAAAATATTAATATGTTTCCCAATTAGTACTAATAGCAACAAACAACTATTTGGAAACAAAATTCCAAATTAACAACAAATATCTCTCTCAATGCAAATGCCTTCCGATTGGTAATAACATCTGAAAGACTTCGATTGAGTATGCATGAATATATTTTTTTGTATCTCTCAATGGATGATACAAGAAAAGTCCCAGAAAATTGTATCGATCTGTGGATGATATAAGAAAGAATATTAAAAAATTCTTGCACCGATGATCATAAAATAGAGACTACTATGATACTTTCATCTCCTGCGAGTGAAATTCGCTTAAACAGAGAGAGCAGAAGGTGTTTTCTTCTAATCACGAGGAAAAATGCTTCTATGTTCATGGACTAAACATCGTAATATGTATAACATCACAGTAATAAAAGGCATGAGGCTTAGAGATAGAAAATCTTATTCAGAGAGAGAGAGAGAGAGAGAGAGAGAGAGAGAGAGAGAGAGAGAGAGAGAG